TCCCCTGCCTCCCTCCCTCCCTCCCTCCCTGTCTTGCGCCTGCCCCTCATACCTCCTCTCTCCCTCCCTCCCTCCCTCCCTCCCTGCTCCCTCCCTTCCGCCCACCTCCTCCTCCTCCTCCGAGCCTCCCTCACTCACGCCCTTCCTCCCTCCTCCCTGCTCTCTCCTCCTTCGTACATCCTCCCTCGTCCCTCCTCCCTTCGCACCCCTTCCCACGCCGCTGCTCCGCCTCGCCGTATCGCACCGTGCGCACCACCTGGCCGCATGGCTGCGCGGGGCGGGGGAGGAGGGAGGTTGGAGGGTGAACAGCGACACCATCTCCCCCTCTTCCATCCCTCTTCCTGATCAAGAACTCCTCCCTGTCGCACCTCGAAACGGGTCGGTGGGCCGGCCGGGCATTTCGCCTGAGACCTCCTCCCCATGTATGGTCCTGGAGCTTCGAGTCTGCAACACTATCACGGGCGGAGGCTCTCCTGTCACTCTCTCCCTAGCGCCCTAGCGCAGTGCACATTCGTCTTCAAAGTTCGCAAGAGCTTCGCGGATGGAGGGCGGCTCGTTTTCAAAATGTGGCTCTCGCCTCAGCGCCGCGCGCATTCGTCGTAACATATTGCAGGAGTTTTACAGATCGAGGGCGGCTCCTTTTCAAGATGAGGCTCTCACCTTCACGCTACGAACATTCGTCTAATAGATTACAACATGTTCAAGGATTCTTATGGCTGACGCCCCAACTATGATGTTTTGGCATGAACTAGGATTCTCAAGGCGCGACAGTCACGCTGATTCGCGGTTCTGACCTCCCAGGAATGGTGTTATGGCATGGTTTAAGACTGTTAGGTCGCAACCGTATCGATGATGCACGGCGTTGAAGTCCCAGGAACGGGTCTCTTGCACAGCTGAGGATCTTCACACGGTCGTCTTCCAACGGGGCTCTCCCCGCGGTGGAGAGACCCTCCTCCTTCACTCCTTTGCCTTACCAATGATGCCCCCCTATCGCGGCGGGCCGGGCGTTTCGCCTGAGAATTCCTTACCACTTATGGTCCTGAAGCCGCAGGATTGGCCACCGTTTCACACATGGGGGGCGGGTCGCCTCCAAAAATGTCACTCCCGCCCTAGCGCCGCCCACATGCGATTATTTTCCGAACCTTGCAAGCTGCACGGATTGACGGCGGGCCGTTCTCAGAAGGTGGCTCTCGCCTTAGCGCCGCGCACAGTCGTTTCCCAAAAGTTTTTGGAGACCATCACGGGTTGAGGGCGGCTCTTCTTCAATGTGTGGCTCTGGCCTCAGCCCCGCGGACATTCGTTTGAAACATTGCAAGGGTCCACGCTTTTCGGAACGATTCAAGAACGATTTCGGAACGATTCAGTCCCGAGAGCGGTGTTTTGGTACGGCTCCAGATCTTCAAACGGTTGTCTTCAAACGAGACACATCCTTCAGTGGTTGAATCCGCGTAGGGGCTTCAACAGAAGGAGCTTGAAGGGAGGGGTTAGTCCAACATCGTTTATGAGCCTCGTGCTTGCATTGGTCCTCATCCTCCTCCTCTTCCTCCTACTCCCCCTCCACCTCCTCCGCCTCTTCCTCCTCCATCTCCTCCTCCTCCTCCTCCTCCGCGTCCTCATCCTCATCCTCCTCCTCCTCCTCATCATCATCAGCATCATCACCATGATCAGCATAATCGGCAGAATCGTCATCATCATCAGCAGCATCAGTACCCGCATCATCATCAGCATCAGCATCGGCATCATCATCAACATCAGCATCAGCAGCATCATCCATATCATCATCACCATCATAACAATCATCAGCATCATCAGCATCAGCATCACCATCATCAGCATCATCGTCATCGTCGTCATCATCATCAGCAGCAGCATCAGCATCAGCATCAGCAGCATCATCATCATCATCAGCATCATCAGCATCATCAGCATCATCAGCAGCATCAGCATCAGCATCAGCATCATCGTCATCATCACCATCATCATCCTGATCATCATCATCAGCATCAGCATCATCATCATCATCATCATCATCATCATCATCATCATCATCATCATCATCATCATCATCATCATCATCATCATCATCATCATCATCATCTCCTCCCCTTCCCTCTCTCCCTCGATCCCTCGCGCGGGCACCAACAGAGCACCCCGCCGTGCGCACCCTCTGTCCTGCTGCCCCGCCCTCACACCCTGCCGCTCTGCCTCATCTCTCTTCCCTGTTTCCTCCTCCCCCTTTCTCCCATACCTCCTCCCTCCTCATTCTCCTCCTCCTCCTCCTCCTCCTCCTCCTCCTCCTCCTCCTCCTCCTCCTCCTCCTCCTCCTTCGTGGGGGACCATGAGGGGCCACGAAACGCATGAGGGGCGTGCCGAAATGTGCGCGGGCACGCCTGCAGCTCCTGCCACTAGGGAATTCGGTGGAGCCCCCATATGGGGCAGCGGCACGTGTGAGGGGTGCGTCGACATGGGTGCGGACACGCATGCGATTCCTGCCCATGCGGCCTTCGGATGATCTCCACATGAGACCACGAAGCGTGCGAAGGGTGTGCCAAATGAGCGCGGTCATGCATGGGATCCCTGCCATTGGGGCATTCGGTAGAATTCCACATGAGGGCACAAAACGTGTGATGGGTAGGCCCGAATGGACACGGTCACGCATGCGATTCCTGCAAGTGGGTGATGATAATGATTATGATGATTATGATGATGATGATGATGATGATGATGATGATGATGATGATGATGATGATGATGATGATGATGCTGATGAGTATGATGGTAATGATGATGGTAACAATAGAAAGTATGATGGTGGTGATGATGTTGGTCCCGATGATGATACTGCTGAGGATGACGATGACGATGACGATGACGATGCTCATGATGGTAACGATTGGATGGTGATGATGATGGTGGTGATGATGATGGTGATGATGATAAGGATGATGCTGATGATGCTGATTATGATGATGGCGGGGGTGGTGATGATGGTGGTGATGATGATAATGATGGTGATGGTACTGATGAAGACGGTGGTGGTGGTGGTGACAGTGATGGTGATGATCATGGTGATGATGATGGTCTTGATGATGGTAATGATGATGACGATGATGATGACGATGATGACGGTGGTGATGATGATGATGATAATGATGATGATAATGATGATGATGTTGCTGATGATGATGCTGCTGCTGCTGATGATGATGATGATGATGATGATGATGATGATGATGATGTTTTTCTCCCGCCCCCAGGCCAGCGGCTCGGGCGCGCGCTGCAGCAGGCCCTGCGGACACACCGCCCACACGGGCACCTCGAGCCCTGGGAGCTCGTAGCCCCTGCCGTAGTGCTGCAGCGCCTTGGCCAACGTGTCTGGCCGCCAGTAGTCCGACATGCTAAACTCATCTTCATTGATGTGGTGCATGCCATTCGGTCACGCGGCGTGACCGACAGGGAAGCAGTCCGCGACGGCGACTGGCCGCGGCTTGGGCAACTCGAGGTCGAGCTCTTCGTTCAGCTGCTCGCGCCGCCTCCACGCCGCTCGCAGCATGTCCTTCACCTGCCTGTTCACATCAGAGTGGTCCGTCGAGATGTAGCCCACGAAGTCGTAGTCCTCGATCGTGCTACCGAGGCCGCCCGTCTCCGGCGTGCCGCAGAAGTTAAACTGTGGCAGGACATGGTCGTTGCTGGTGGTCGACAAATTTTGCAACACCATCTCGCTGAAGGTCTTGCCCGGGCACCCACCACATTCGTGGACTGGGTAACACTTAGAACGGTGCGCAGAGACCACCCGGTCCAGCGGGTCCCGCAAGAAGACTGCCTTTGTCCAGCCCAGCCTCCTGGAGTCTCGAGTTCATCAGGTTGCGCACGCTGGACGCGAAGAAGTTGGTCGAGGGGCAAGTGCTATTCGCTCTCTCCTCGATGCCGTTCTGGGCGTTGATCATCCAGGCGAACTGCGTGCAGGCGTTCTTCGGGACGAAGCAAAAGAGCAGCCTGAGTCTGGGCACTGCGAGGATGCACTTGGTGACAGGCTCAGGAAAGCCGTTGATCCATCGTTTCCCTCATTCCTTTGGGTTGCCCTAGTCCTGGTCCCTGCGCAAGTGGAAATCGGCCTCCCCAAGGCGGCGGGTGCGTCGCAGCGATCACTGGGACGAGGAGCACGAAAAAACGCGCCATCTGACTGCGAACATGGAACCCGATGTGCAGGTGGACAGCGCCCAAGCCATAGTAGTAGGGGTGAGGCTTGAGCCAAAACGGCTACGAACGGTGGTAATGACGATGATGACGATGTTGTTGATGATGATGATGATGGTGATGGTGATGGTAATGATGATGATGATGATGACGACGACGATGATGATGACGATGACGACGACGCTAACGACGACCACGATGATGATATTGAAGACGACGATGGTGATGACGACGTTGACGATGACGACAATGATATTGATGGTGATATTTATATTGATGATGATGGTGATGATGATGATGGTTATGATGATGATGAGGAGGAGGAGGAGGAGGAGGATTTTCCCTCGACGTCAGGACCAACATCTGATATAAGATATGGCGTACAATAAATCCGAATTTGGAGACCCGTCGCAGAGAGCCAACTGTCTCGCATTGCCCCGCGTGGGCCAGGCTGCCAGGGTGCTGCGCGGAGGGGCCTCCTGCGCAGCGCGTGCCAAGCAACATCAAAGGTGCTAGCTGAAGAGATATTCGGCTGCTTCATCTTCGGTGATTGCGTCGAAATCAGGCGCGGCTTCCACCTCGCATAACTCCTCTGCATGCGCCGGCACGGCAGGGGGGATGAGGTGGAGGCACAACGGAGGAGGGAGGGTACGTAACCGTGACCGTGCTGCTGCTGGCAGGGAGGCCTTCGCCTCGGACAAAATTGACACGGCGCTGGACGGTATCGTCTCCGCTGGCGCCTGCATTGCGTTGCCTTGCAGGCTCGCTCTGGCAAAAAGACGGGGCTGCCCCGTTTCCAGGATTCACTGCTCGAGCGTCTCCAACCAGTGGCCGACCTCCTCCTCGAGCCAGCCCGCTGGGGCCACGCCTCTGTGGTGGACCGCTTGGCCCTCGGCCTCGAGGGCGCGGCTGATCAAGACTCGGCCCTCCCACGTGGGCGCGCCTATCACCAGCTTCGTCTTGGCGTCGTCGTAGCACTTCTCCAGGCGCACGAAGGAGATGACGTCGAGGAGATATTCCTTGCTGATCTCCGCCTCCGCCTCCATGTCCTCGGGCTCCGTTCGGAGCAAGTAGTTCCGAATGGCACCCTTCATGGCACCGCCCACGTCGCACTTGTGCAATCCCTCCAAGGCCGCCAGCGCGAGGGACGGAGCTGGCGACCCTATCTCCTGCAAGCGTTGCTTGTCCTCTGGGGCGCCGCTCTTCCTGAGGGGGTCCAAGGTGCGCTTGTAGCCCTCGAGCTCCTGCGTGATGGCCATGATCACTGGGTGCTCGTTGCTCATCGTGTAGGTGTCCGCGTTGATGCTGCAGTTCAGCCTGGTCTTGTGCGTCGTCTGGAGCAGCAGCTTCAGGGTCGACCGAAGCAGATCCAGCACGTTCTTATCCTTGCTGCTCCAGGCCTTGGGGTTGTGAGTGCCACGGCGCCCGCGGCGTCCTCCGCGGCGAGCTGGGCGTCGGCCGGGCTGGTCGGTCTTCGTGTCCCTCTCGCCGTTGTCCCCCCCGCTCACCTCGATGGGCGCGGCTGCCCCCCCTTCCTCGGCTGGCGTTCGTGGTGATCGCGATCGCCGCTGCGGCGGCGGCGGCGGGCCTGGCGGGCGCGCAGCCTTTGTCGCCTTCTGGCCTGGCGCGGCGCTGGAGGCGGTGCCAGAGCCCTTCGAGCCCTGGGTGGAGTCCAGCGGGAGTCGCCACGACGCTCTCTGCTTGGGCGCCATCCTCTGGTCCAGGAGGTGGTGCAGGAAGAGTAGGCGTAGAGGAAACAGTAGCCACTCGAAGTGACCGCGGAGGTACTGCATATACTGCTGCTGGGCGCCGCGCTGCTCGTAGCCGTCGAGGTGGTCGGTGTCTAGGCCTGCTGCGAGGGTCGCTGCCCACGATGTGATCCACCGACTGACGAATGGCAGCGCATACAGCAGGGGTGTCCTCGATAGCAGGCGAGGGGCGGCAGCTGGATAGCGCGGGGCGCGGCGGGGGAGCACTCGGAGTGGCCGAGCGCGTGGTAAGCCTTCTGACGACAGGCTTGAGCATGGAACCCGATGGCGACGCTGGGAGATGTCCCAAGACGTGAGCTCAAAGTTGTTGCTGATCGTGATATTCATGTTGGCATGCGTGGTCGAAAGCATAGCCCCGTAAAGGGCATGTAGTACATGCGGCTGGAAACCAAGGGTATACATGATGAGTAAGTTCTGGAATGCATCTGCCTGCTTGCCATGCTCGTCGAAAATGTCTAACTGCATGATCTTGATATGGGAACGTAGTTTGGCACCCAATACATTTGCTGTCGATCTGTAGGGTAGTCAAGACCGCTGGCAGACCGTGTCCTAGGCTCTTAGATTTGGTTTGCTGCGTGGCGAGCTGTTTGAGCGTCCCGAACGTTTTCTGGCACGACTCGATGTTGCACACGAAGGGGCGGTTCGTCTCGTCGCCAGCGTCCGTCTCGTCGTACGTTGCCGCCGAGGGGAGAGAGGAGGTGATCACGCTGGCCTCGGGAGGAGCCCACTGAGTCGTCCAGTAGGAAGCCCTGAGAGCCCGAACATCGCAGTTTAGGAAGGCCTCTCGAACCCACTCGTCACCCCACAAGTTGTTTACAACTCGAGGTTGCCACGCCTCCTGAAAGCTCTCGCCAATCGTGTGAGACGACAGGCACAGCAAATCGTCCGCGAGCTGCGTGGCCCACGGGTGCACGTTCGGGCCTGCGGAGATCTCACCCTGCGAATTGAGAGTGCCAGCGCTGACGGGGCGGTCGCTCATGGCCGCCTGCTGCTCGAACTTCCATCTGCCCCCCCCCCCCCAAAAAAAAAAGAAGCGAGAAAGTGGCCATGATGTGCG